TTTCTAGGGATGACCTACTTACCTAGCTTACAAAACGTTTGTCCGTCCGAGCTGTGAATACGCGGCGCCCACCTGGCATCCTGGTCTGACTACCAGACAGCGTCACAGGATCGAGTATATCCAGAAACGCGCGTGTCGGGTAATTCTCGGGTCGGCTTATATTTCATACCCCGAGGCATGTACAACACTGAACTTACCTACGCTAGAAGACCGAAGGGTCCAACTTTGCCTGAACTTTGCTGTGAAAGTTCTCAGATCACAGGACTTCCAACACTGGCTACCGCCCAGGAGGGGCACCATCACTGAGCGCACCACTCGTTCCAGTAACAAACTGACTCTCACCAAATGTAGAACTGAGCGGTACAAACAGAGTAGCGTCCCATACATGACCTACCTCCTGAACAGTCACTGTTTGTCTTAGACACAGAGATCTCATACCTCCATGAAATATGATCTTGATATGTAAATGTAAATTTCTTCTTTAATTGTTCAAATGACCTCTGCATTAACATGATATATGCATCGTGATGTATGTTAACTTTTGATTAACTTACAGATGTCCCAAGTATGACATTCTCATCATTCACCATTACGAAATCATAGAATTTTCACATTAATTATGCAAATTAGGTCATCATTTGCATAATTAGTATCTGTTGAAGTTCCGCCTGCCATAGGTTACATAGTATAATGTAAAACACTGTAATATAGAATTTCCTCATTAATTATGCAAATACAGTCCTCATTTGCATAATTTGCATTTAATTATGTACATCTCTCTCTCAGCTACCTACACACCAAAAATAATGAAAATATGTTGTTCCTGTCTGGACTTATTGGCTTTTAAACATTTCACCAGAAAGTGCCCTGCAGTTCCAGAACAAGCCGCTAGGGGGCCCAAACTCATGTGACTTCTTCCCAAGCACGAGAGCTACCTATCATCCAAATTTCATGACCCTTGCATGTCCAGATCGCGAGATATCAAAACCGGAAGTTGCGCTGCAGTACCAAGGGAAGCCACTAGGGGGACCAAAATCTCATCATTTCCAGTTTTCGTCACACCCTACCAACACACCAAGTATGAAACCAATCCATCCAGGCGTTCTTGAGTTATCTTGTTGACCAACAGACAGACGGAAGGACGGAAGGACGGAAGGACGGACAGATAAACGCAACTGAAAATATAACCTCCATGACACATTTCATGGAGGTAATTAGTAATAATTAGGTAGAATAAGAAACAAGTGTGCACATTTTAGTCATGTGAGGTGCGGTCCATTGAAACAGGCATGCGGTGTTGAGAGTGGTTGTCGGTCCTTCGAATGTTTTCATATTTTTACCCAAGATGTTTGTTAATTTTGTCTGCCAACTGGACGGAATGGTTTAAAACATTTCCGTCACATTCCGCAAAGTTCCGAAAATCTGGTGCTGACTACTGCCGAAGAGGACCGAGCGCAGAAGGCGCAAGTCGAGCGCCAAAGGCGCTAAGAAACAAACCCACCAAACCTGAAATATTACACAATCACTGAATTGCATTCAATCAACAGAGTATAAAAAGATTCTCAGCAACATACAATATTGAATGGTGTTTGTACATATTAGTATATAGTGTGTTTCTGTGTACCTGTCCTGTCTTGTTTTTTTAACCTATTGTAAAAATCAATTACATAATTCAGGGACGCATTAGCATTCCCTGCTTTTGTATGATTTTGTTGGATTGAATAAATGAATGATATTGCACATAATAGTGCCACTTAGCTTACAAGCTTGAAAATGCACATGAAGTGCATGCATTTATAGTGTCATTGGCTTTAATGATTTGATTAAAGCACGACCACAATATTTCAAGATGTTCCATTATAATGGTTATCGAGTGATATGGGTATTACCTGTGTTTCTGTCACACATGCCCTGGTCACCTGGAAGTAAGGGGATGATAGCATAGTGTAATTATAACAAAAATGGGTTTATGTGAAGATGACGGCCACAAGAGATACTTATTCGTTTCGATTTCGTGGCAGTCGAATCGGTCGATCAAAGTCGATTCGACGTCACTGGTGCGCGTTCGTTCGGATTTCGCCAGCGAAATGGTCTGATTAGCAGCACGTTGACAGTGTGCTGACTTGAAACTCCTAATATGCAAAATAAAAAGACACATTATGGAACGATATCACTTGTTACACGGTTGTATGATTAACGTCTCTTTAAAAAAGCAGAGGAAAAGTTACCCTTTTGGCAAATGAAAGACTTGTTCTGTCCACAGAGATCATCGTCCCATTTGAAGTCATGGTCAGACCACAGCTGGACACAGCCCGTTGTAGGCACGTTTCTCGGTTCCCCCGGCGCCCAGTTACTGTAGCCACAGTCATCCACAGGAGTTCCATCCGACCATGTGAAGTCATTGCCCCCCTATGTACGACAGTAATATTAGCTACATTTCATTTCAATGCATCGGCCATATCGTCCTGTGAAAAGATCGCAGTTAGATATGGTTGAAATGAACTACATCGTATTTACTATCTACATCATACCCGGGCCGCGATAACGTTCGATAACGGGTTCGATAACGGGTTCGATAACGGGTTCGATAACGGTCCGGAACCCGTTATCGAACGCTTCCATGGCTTCCATAAAACGATACGAACGCGTTTCGCCCTACCCGCTTGTGCCCCTTTCGAAAATTCGAATACAGAATCCGGACGTTGGAATTGATGTTGTTGCATTTTATCGTTTGGTGGTAGCACCAACTTTCGGCTCATCTTGCATTGAAAGGCGTGTTTTCTTGGGTGGGTATGACATAAATAAAATACAACACGGTGTATTCTGCGCATGAGGGCCCTCGGTCCCGGCCCTCCCGCGAGTCGGATCGGCCTGCGGCCGTCGGGCGATCCGACCCGCGGTCGGGCCGATACCTCGGGCGATACGGAATACCCCGTGTTGTATTCTATATATACACCCGCCTATCTGTGTGTATATCAGTGTGAATTGTTCGGTACCAGAAGTTCTAGAACACAAAATATTACAACGTAGTACAACGGACTTGAAATGGCTGCGACGGGGGACGATACGGCCTTCTAACTAACCACCTTTGACCCATTGCCTATGTCAAGGACAACATTTTCGTTGCAATCGGAAGTACTTAAGTCTTGAATTTGTTGGGAAGACTGTCTAGACACGACTGCAAGGAAATTGTGAGTTTGCAGTGAAAACAATTTTGTGTTATTTACCTACACGTGTAATGCTTAGGTCACATTTCCAAACCGGGGCCCGGCCGGGCTGTTTGTATGAACGAAAAATTAAAAAACTAACAATTCATATCAAGAATATACAGGAATAGTGCCCATGATTACTATCGAAAACTTTTCTGTGTTTCCTTGTCTTTTATATCGTACTATTCGTTCCATAAGACTACCCGGCCGGGCCCCGGTTTGGAAATGTGACCTCAGCATAAGTCTAGTGAACAGAGAACTGTGTCGAATGATCTGCTTACCTCGTCGTCACTGAGGCCTATCCAGTAGTCTGTTCCGCCACCAGCATTGACGTTTATCATTTCAACAAGGAAGTTGTGCAGAGCTTCAGTTTTGATGTCCACAAGATGGCCGCCGTCTGCAGCACACGTTTGTTTGGCAGCGTCGCGGGTCTTGGCCTCGGTGTGTATCTTGTACTGCGTATCACCTCGCTGTGTGGACGCTGTGTGTTGTAGATATGAAGAAATTTTGGATTGCATTTTTTAATTGCTTACGTACTTACGTAACAATCATTCAATAGCTCTATGTTGAATTAAAACGACCAATAACGCTTCACGACGAATATACTGATAACGCTTTACGCTGAATTAAGAAGGCCGGCAACGATTAACGGTGAATTAAAGTAGCCCATAACGGTTAACGAAAAAGGGCATGCAGGCCCTCCTATACCAGGCATACAAAGTTACATTCATTCAGTAAATCTGTTCCCATTTTCAGGCACCCCAGATTCAAATTATGGCGTAACTTCTTGAGTTAACGTGCTAAACCACATACATATGTCCCAACTACTAAGTACCTAATACCAGCCCAGAAGAGAACAAGAAATAGCCATGCATTCAAGTACAAGAGTTATCAACCAAGGATTGAGGTGTTCAAGAATTCATTCTTTCCTAGAACTATCGCAGAGTGGAACTCACTGTCACCAAGTACAGTAGGGGCATTGTCATTAGATAGCTTTAAACAATGTCTAGAGCTAGAAGTTCAAGGATTAGGTGTAACAAGTCGATCGGTGTAATATAGCCAGCTGCCGCCGCGCCGCGTGCCTGCGAAGCTGGTGTGTTACGCCGAAAGGCGGTTATACCGGCTATACAGATACAGATATATACATATATACATACATACATACACACATACACATACACACACACACACACACACACACACACACACACACACACACACACACACACACACACACACACACACAAAGGAATATATTCCTTACCATACGTGTTGTTACTTGTGTAGGAGAAATTGAACCCCTGGCTGTTGCCATAGTTACTGGGGTAGTTCGGTGACGTGACGGGGCCTCCAGAGGGAGCCGTCAGGTTGCCTCCACATCCGGAGACGCCCGGTAACAGGAACACGAGGAAGCACAGGGCGAGCGCTTCCAACCTGCGCGGGGATGATCCCGCCATGCTGCCTGAGAACAATAGAATAAAATTGAAAATGAGTTTATTTGGCAGCTTCTATAGTTTTGTTGACTTTTCACGCTCAAAGATGCGGACCGTTGGGCAACCGATAAGTTACCAAATGTCATTGGTCCTCGAGGTCATCATAAGACTACTGGAAGACTTTAAAGATCAATGGAAGATCACTGAGATCATCGTGAGATGATTGCATGCGCAAGACCTCGGAGATTTTGGAAAGCCATCCCCGTACCAAAAATAGACCTGTCTCCCTCCCGCACACACAGCCCTGCCCAACTTACTTAATCTAAAAAAAAACATGCCTCCCTCTTTAATCTAAAAAAAACATGCCTCCCTCTTTAATCTAAAAAAACATGCCTCCCTCTTTAATACTAAAAAACATGCCTCCCTCTTTAATCTAAAAAAACATGCCTCCCTCTTTAAGAAAAAGACATTATGTTACGCTCCTAGTAGGAAGAATTATATTATGTGTGCCCAACTGCCTGTGAACGTGTATATGATTGCAGCTCGTACGTAAAAACTGTACTAGACCAAACTTTTAACTTAACCCTATCTAAAATCATTAACTTATTCCACTGATACAAAGTTGTTGCCAACAATATTTTATGAAAAGTCACCAAGTTTGGCCGTTGTAGCGCTAGCCGTTCAGACGATATGTGACATCAATTGGCGCGGGCACTTCCTCCCCCCCCCCGTGTACACTATACGACATCCAGTAGATTTCTAGCGGGGACCAATCATAGGGCTGCTGACGCGTCACCGACTAGCGGCTATTAGCACCTTGTTTCATGTAAATGCCATGAACTCAACCAGAGCACGTATATTGTTTCTTGTTTACATCAGTACTAAGTACTAGTACTTCCACAATCAGTTAGTAAAGTCATACCTTAGTAAAATCTACTTTGATGAACGAATCAAAAGGGGACTGTAGACATTAAGTTTTACACATTCAAATGTGGCTGCACTAGCGCTAATGGAGCGATCACTACGTACGGAAAGGAACGGATCTTCTGGGCGAAGCCGAGATTTGTGAAGCAAACGCAACCCATCGAAGACGGGCCGCTAAACTTAAAAATGGAGGGAAATGACAGACAACAAGCCAACAAAGACAACATCACAGACCAACAAACTTGGAAAACACCACTTCAAGCGCTAACGTTGTAAGAACTGTGGAACCTCAAACTAGTATGTTTGCGTCAGCGGAAAGGCTGTCGAAGTAACCACTACATGTAAAACTGCGGCGAAAAAGTAACATGGGTTCGTCCCAAATCTAGACGCAAGTGAGCTACAAAAGTAATATAGAACCTATGCATCTTGCTTGTTGCTGTCAACTTACCCGTTAAAGATTGAACCGATACATGTACGTACTATAACTTGCCATACCCGGCCAAAGACGACTACATTACTGTTACTCTTTATTTTGTGCTGTATAATGTATATGCGTTACATTATCTATCATTGTCATTTCTGTGAATTCCTTAAAACATCTACTGTTAGTTTGTGTAACATTACGTAGTGCTACAATCTGCGTAAAAAGTGGGCTTCATTACGTGTTATCTGCTAAGTCGTGTTGGTATTGAAAACTGTTTATTGTGACGTTCTTCTACAAACAGCCAGCAGAATTATGAAGATACTCGTTCTCAATACACATGCTGCAAACTAAAGTAATGGCAGTCCTACGAAAATTCTGTTTGTAATGTATATTAAAGCGCTTTATGTCGACATACAATGGGTGTGAAATACATGTTTTCGCCCATCGTGTGCCACCGGATCGGTGGTAATTGGCTACTTTACAAATGAAAGAGCCGCGTCCGTGGGCCTTGATAAATTATTCAAATTATTCAGCAGCCCTCTGATTGGTCCCCGCTAGAAATTTACTGGATGTCATTCAGTGACGAGCCCCCCC